CGCATCCGTTATTACTTGACTCGCAAACCAACAGTTTAGTTGTTCCTAGGTTTAGAAACGGTTGTTCAATAGAGCATGATACTCCGTATTGCTTGTTACGATCGAATGGACTCTTGCTGACCAAGAGATAACTTTGCTTGATAAAACGGAAATATCTGCCAACAAGTCAGCAGAATTTAAAGACGGTTATGGGTACGGGGAAATGGTACCTTAAAAAAATATTGAAATAGAATTTAAAAGGTTTCAGATTTTTAACGGTCGCCTAAAAGGGTTTGTTAAGATTTTTTGCGCTCTCGATACCTCGTAGTCTGCCAGTCTTTTGCTACACTCATGCCAAATAACCCACTTTTTCCGAAGGAAAGGCAAACTACCCAAAGAAAGTGCGAACATTTTAAGTAGGAAAATCTTTCAAAATTTTAAGCCTTTTCTGCGAGAAAATGTTACATTATCGAAACAAGAAAATATCTGAAACTTTGTGAAATAAACTTCATACGCTATAAAAGTTCTCAAATGGTTTTACTGCAGATAGTATTTAAACTTATATTAATATATGACATAATAATATTTAATTTAGATTAAACTATGCCATAATAATATTTAATTTATGTCAACGGGATATATTATTAAAAATAAATAAAAATTTTAATCGATATCAAATGAGCCAATCGCTCCTTTCATTAATCGGTTACGGAAAATTATATTTCAAAGATACATTACAGTCAGACTTTTTTCCGCCTGGTATAATTCTGCACGCGGCTCCTTCCAAAATTCTAAATATTTTGCCGGCTGCACATGCAGGGGGGAAGGGGAAGGGTATAAATTTTCGGAAGGTATGTGATTTTTATCTAATAAATTTTTTTAAACGTTTGGAGTTCAAAAATTATTTGAATAAAAATAAATGCATTTTAACTCACAGTTAAGTTTAATTAAAGAACCCTTTCTCATTCAGGTGTAAATATAAAATACTTCGAAAAATTCATTTCAGGAATTAAAATTTTATAATTGGTAGCATAAATTTAATCTTTTAAATAATTTTATGATTTAAATTGATTTTACTCTTTTACTAGAATTGATGTTCGTATTTTATAAGAAATATTATAAGCACAAAACTCAAACTGCTTTCAAAGCGAGCAATGGCAAAACTGTACGGAAAAAACACTTTTATCTCCAGCGGGCGAGACTGTGTATAGAAAATTCTAAAGATATGCTGCTTTTAAATATTTTGTGATATTGCTGTTGAATTTTATGTGTGTCCGAACAACATGATATTTAATAAATAAAGATTGTAGACACATTTTGTACTTTTTGAAAGCAGGAGAGATGACAAATTACCAACGCCCTCGCTGGGACTCGAACCACGGCCCTCTCGAATACGTGCCGAGCGTGCTGACCATTACACCACGAAGACGTGCTAAGAAGGCGGGAGACATACCTTATATACTCCCCTTTTTAAAGGGCGACTGAGGATCAGGGTACCCAATCGTCAAATCCTGGTGGTGGAGAATCATCATTCACCACCTTTTTTTTGTTCGGGCGTCACTGTAGAGATATTAGGTATTTTTTGAAAGCAGAAGACGTGAAAAAAAATTAACAATCCCCTAGCCGGAACTCGAACCAAGGAATTCTGGAATACGCTCCGAGCGTGCTGATCACTACACCACGAAGGCATGGTAAGAACGCGGGAGAAAAACTTATAAGGTAACACACAAAATGTTAAAGAAACACCCTTTTGAATATAAAATCTGAAATTATTTTATTTTACTTTTTGTTGTTGTTGTTGTTATTGGTGGTGGTGGGGTGTACTATAATTCGTTGCGGAGGAAAACAACGCAAGCCGAAAATGCCCTCGTACAAAACATTGTGGGAGAAAAAGAAACACAGAAAAAACATTACAGTTCTAAACCATTGTGGTATAAAAATCGTTACTGAAAATGAAGCGGTTCAAAACTACGCAGTTCGAAAATATCGTGGTAAAAAAATAAAGCACCCATAAATTACTGTTTGACGATAACATCGCAGGAATGAGTTTTTAAAATCTGTAGATGCATATTCGCATAATGATCTGTGAGCGAAAGAAGGAATGAGAAATATTTCTATGTTTATATAACATATTTCTGAATTAAGTAATATTTTTTTTTCCTGCAAAAGCAAGGAGGAAACTGAAAATTCAAAAAATAAAAATGTGTAGAAAATTAACGCTACTTATAGTAGTTAACAGAATTGTAAGGTATTTATTTATTTATTTCATAAAACCGGTTATTTTATATTCAGTACCTTTACTGTCATTATCCCTTTCCGTTTTCCTGCCAGAATGTTAATTTTAGTTCGCGCATATTCAAATGAGGAAGAAAGAGATGGTATTTAAAGGCAGGTTTTAGATTGTTTAGACAAAGCGTGTTCCGCCTGCTGAAGGCCACGTTATTGGTTGAAATTCTGTGATAGCAGTCTGCTTAATTTGGCATTACTTGAAAGTCCTGCCAATAGTGCTTGCCACGCCAGTATAGATTTGAGTCAACTTTTACGTTCATTCGAAGTAGCTTTTAGTTAATTTACGACTTAGTTTAATTTGCAGTTCTTTATTTTTCAGCTACGTCATATATGCTGGCTGGTTTTGTAAGCGCAGGAAGTGTCTTCTGTTGAGTTTTTAACAAAGGGATCTTTTACAACCTTCTTACGTTGTCCTTTTTCTTACTAGATATAGCGATAATTCGCTTAGCTCCATCCAGAGTCTCGACTTGGTATATGCTTCGGAAGAAGTTCAGGTTGTATACAATTTAATCCCTTACTAAAATATTATGCAGCTGACATGTTTCGTCGTAACTAACACATCGACATCCAAACGATTAATTGCATTCTGTACATAAAAATGTTAATGAAGCTTTAAGAAGACGAATAAATTCAAACAAAACAAAATTTGATTTCATTTAAAGAACATCAAATTAACGACCCCCCCCCAACCAAAAAAAAAAAAAAAAAAATTCCGAAGCGGACACACATGACTTCTTTGTTGTACAGCCTATTAAATTATACGTGTTTTTTGCTGCATTTCATTTAAACTTATTTCCGTGAATTTCATTAGAGATATATTTTATATATTTTTCATTCAATTAATTCAGTTCTCACTTCGCGGCAAGGCAAAAATAAATAAAACCTCAAAATATCTTCATTAAAAATTGAAAAATATAGAAACACAGTTAAAACAATTTAAAAAACATTTTTTACAATTAAAATTACAGTTTGTACGCAAAAACAAGTAATTCGGGCAGAAGGCAAATTTTTCGGTGCACAAAATTAAGTTTCCTCTTGTTCCCACTCGGCAAAAAGACACTGAAGATACAGAAACTGACTTAATTCATTGTTCTGTTAAGTTTAAAATGCAAGCAATATGTTTGCTCAGTTAGGTTGGCCGCACTTAAACAAGGTCTAAATTTTTGATAATTATTACATGCAGATGAATTAATATACATGTTTATATACTCGCAGCTGAGTGCAACCAAAAAAGGAGGCGCACAACTACATGTTATAGCAGTCCTATATGCAAAATTTCAACGTTCTGAGGCTACCTGTTTTTGAGTTATCCGAGATACATACATACGTAGATGTCATGAAAAAAATCTCTTCTGAATCCGTTTTAAATGTTTTGTAATTCGTTTTGGGGGAAAAAGAGTCCTTTATTCTGTTCTTCCGTACAGCTGTCAAGCATAAACATCATTAAATTGCATTCGGTAGCGGTCAAAATGGATATTTTCGTTGAAATATGGCAACCGAAATTTTTCGCGATTACAATACTTCCTGTACTGCATACAAGGAAGTAAAAAAGAAAATAATTTTCAATTTGATAATTAATTAAATAATTTTAATACATGTAATCTCCCGCAATTACTCATTTTCCTTTTTATAATCTCTGTTAGATTACACCTATATTTTTCATGAAAAATTACCTATATAACACAGATTAATTTAAAATTCTTTTAACTGGTGTTAAAGTAACATTATTTTTCTACTCATTTTCAGTTTTTGTATGCTTGAAATTCCTTCTTGGATTTGTACAAAAATTATTAATTAAGCCCAAAGTATAAAATATAGAGGTAAAAATATTCTTCCTTTCTTCGGCTAATCTTTGGAATATGGTAACAGGTAGTTTGGCGACATTTTGGTAAGGCGATAAAAGTTACTAGCTAGGACTTTAGTAGTGTACATGGATAAAGTCAAGAGTGTGCGCAATGCCATTTTTGTGCAATTCTGGGATGTTTTTTTAAGTGAAAATAGATCGACGTGTACATGGATGATACCGTGTATGTGCAGTTCTTAAAGATGCGGTAAGCAGTGGGCGATTCTGCACTTTGTCCCAATTTCGCACCTAATCTTCGTCATGATTAAGCACTTTTGTTCCACAAAAGTTCTAGCATAAGCGTAATTCGGCTAGCAGATTGTTGGAAAAAAATGTTGAGTAAAAAAAAATGCCTTTACTTCGTGAAAACAAAATGGCGTCCAAACAAAAACTAGCAGGTTGCTGTAGCAGGGTTGGTCGCCAAATTTTCGCCAAAAAATCGCCGAGTTACCATAATCCAAAGATTAACCATTTCTTCTTGCGCTCACAAATCATTATGCGAATATGAATTTACAATTTTTTAAGCTTGAAAAATAAATCATGCGATGATTTATAGGCGCTTTATTTTTTTACCACAATATTTTCTACGACGATGTTTCAAAACTGCAACATATTTCAACCGCTTTATTTTCGAGGACGATATTTTATACCACTATGCTTTCTTTTGTCCCACGATGTTTCATATAACGGCATTTCAACTTTGCGTTGTTTGTTCCGCGACGTTTTAAACTGCAACTCTGCTAAGCCTACTTATAATGTTCTATGCGAATTTCTACAGAGCCTTTATAAAAGGCCTCTATAAATAATTTTTCGTAAGGTTTCTTTCATGGTGGGATTGATTCATTCTGATAATTAATTCTGTTTAAGAAAACATTTTACAAAGACTCACCTTAATCCTCAGTCTGTATTTGGTCTGCGTTTCTATTTTCATGTTTACAAACTGCATATCGTCTCCATACCTGGATGGTGCTGGCATTCTTCGCAAAGGCACTTCAAATCCATTGAAGACTGCCTCAGCCTTACCGACAGCAGCATATCCATAATTTTTAGGATAAACACAAGATGGTATTTCATTAGGTATCGAGTCATTTTTTTTGTCTTCGTCGTATCTGGAAGTCAGGCGTCCAACGAAGCAACAACCCCTCGCTTCACATGCTGCTTGGTCGACGCACGTGTCATCAGGGTAGCAATCGAATCGCTCTTCGGGATTTAACAACTGACTTGGACACTGAGGGAACCAATCCACCTTTTTTGGAAGCGATATGAAGGTCTCCAGGGTGGTCGTTTTCGTATTGAAGAGAAAGTAGATGAGGGCAGCAGCAGCTGCGAGCAAGAGTATGCATATTGTAGTCATACATCGCACTTTGCACGAGTAGCTTATAATTTTCTTACTGGAGCAACACACCTTGTTCTTCTGAGAGCCATTCTGGGACAGATTAACGGACACCTGAGTCGGTCCGGAGGATGACTTCGTCATGGTATGAGTACTGTTGCCACTTTATTTTATTAATCTTCACTAGTATTTTGGCAGCTAGTACCTGTAAAAATAAGAAGTAAATTTAACGACATTACGAAAATGTCTTCTAAAATTTTATACAAAAATTCAATGTTGAAATTCTATAGAATCTAGGTTAAAAATACCACGCCGAATAATGATTATTGCACAAGTCAAACAACACGAATCAGCGTTATATTTGTAAATTTTCCAGGACTAGTTTCGATGGCTTGACTACAAAACCATCTACCTCAGCTGCCAAAGTGCAAATGAACGAGATAAGAAAAGAATGGCTAGACTAGACAGTTAAGCTACTGGCGCCATCTATTGATGAAACAAGCTTAACTCCGGTCCAGCCATTCTTATCTTATTATCTTATTATCATATGTGTCTCGTTCATCTGCCCTTTGGCAGCTGAGGAAGATGGTTAAGTCAAACCATCGAAACTACTGGAAAATTTACAAATATAACGCTGATTCTTGTTGTTTAGCTTCTCTGATAATCCTTTAGAATTATGGGTCAGTTTTTTTATAAACTATAGGTCACAGTTCTAAGCAATTCTACAGAATTTTAGGTGCAGCTTCTATGAAGTTATGTATAGAGATTGTATACAGATATGTAGAGATATTTAATAGAGATTTTTAAAGAGATTTTATTAAAAAAATTACTTTCCGAATATCCCACGTGTACATTCTTAAATAATGCATATAGCACCAACTAATACAATTCTACTGAGAACATCCGATCCAGTTTATTGAAAATTAGGGCTTAATACTAAGGAATTCTAAGCAAATTTCCTTGCTTTCTATAAAACTTGTTGTAAACGATATTGAGTGTATAAGATATTTTCTTCCTCCTTTCTGCATACGTTCGTGCTGTGACTGGAATCACACTCCACCGTATTCGGGAGGTTCGGAGTTCCTATCTTGGGAATCATATTGCACATTTTTTCGTTGTTCCATCATCGATATACCCGAATGACTCTACAAATATTAAAAGGAAGTACGGTAATCATGAAAACTTCCGGGAACCATATTTCAACGAAAATATCCATTTTGGCCGCTATCGAATGCAATTTACCGATGTTTTCCTGTGACATCTGTACGTAAGGACAGAATAAAGGACTCTTTTTCCCCAAACGAATTCTAAAACTGATTTAAAAAGGATTCAGAAAATATTTTTTTCGTGGCATCTGTATGTACGTATGTATGTATGTATCTCGCATAACTCAAAAATGAGTAGTCTCAGAATGTTGGAATTTTGTATATAGGACTGCTATAACATGTAGCTGTGCACCTCCCATTTTGGATTCAATCGGTTGCACTAAAAGTATATATATATGTATTCGCACTAAATGGATTTAAGTTCATACAACATATATATTATATTCTACAAAAATAATTAAAAATAAATTAAAAGCCCACTTGCGCTAAACGGCAAAGTAAAACCAATCATTCATATAATTTATAATAAGAAAACTTTCCATATACCATCTCCAGAACCATAAATTCAATTTAAACCATGATGAAAAACGTTTTGTCAATATTTTAATTAGTATTTTAAACGAGTATTTTCTAGACCTCTTTTGATTTGAAAACATAAAAATCTGTTAAGAAAAATCTTGATTAGAAAAAATACCAGAAATCAAAAGTAAGTTTCTTTTAAATTACTAAGGTTTCTGCTTAAATCTTAAATCATAAACATAAATGTCTTACGTTTAGTTGAATGACAACATATTGCTTTTACACTCATTCCATAAATTAAGATAATTCGAGTCACGCGGAATGAACTCTAAAAAAAATATCCCCTGTAATCACTACAACTACACACATCTCAAAATCATATGCAAATTTCAGGAAGTAATCATATACACCGATGTAGTCACATGACGAGAGTGTAAAGAATGATATATAAGGAATACAGGCAGAGGTAAAATTGTTCGCAGCGCTTTAGAACATTTCAGTGCAATACTGAATAGTTATGACACAAGGACGCATTTGGAAATTTTTTACGTGGTAGAATTATCGGTCGTCTGGAATGTGGCCGTACCCAACTGGAATATCAGACAACTTGAATTGCAGTGTCATCTCCAGGCTTTGGCACGATTTCTAAGATGAGGTCATGTGAGTTGACGTTTACAGCACAGATCGCCCCAGAGTTACAACACCGAATGAGGACCGGTATTTGGGAGTTACTGCCAAAGAAACAGGCGGAGGACGCCTCAGACCTGTCTCGTCAGCTCTCTTCAGCCACTGGTACGACGATTTTCAAGGCAGACCGTGTACAGACTCTTAGGCAGATTGGTCTATATGCTCGTAGACCTGTCAGATGCTTCCATTTACTGCAACTCACTGTCGCCTGCGGTTAGCCTGGAGTAGAGAGCATGCATTGTGGACACCGCAACAGTGGGCTTGTGTGATTTTTCCGACGAGTCCAGGTTTAGCTTGCAGTCTGATTCTCGCCGGACTTTTCATATGGAGAGCTTCAAGTACCCGTTACCACCAAGAAAACATCATTGAACGACACCGCTACGGTGGTGCAGCAGTGCTCGTTTGGGGTGGAATTATTCTGGGTTCCAGAAATGACCTGCATGTTCAAATTGGAGCCATGGCAAGCCAAATCTATCGGGACGTCATTCTGGAACAACATGTACTTTGTTTGGGGCGCATGGCGCACAATTTGTGTTTAGGACGACAACGCTCGTCCTCACCGTGCAAACATCGTAAGCGAATGCCTCCATCGGAGATATCACCGTATGGACTGGCCCCATTCTCACCGGACTTAATCCAATAGAGCATGTGTGGGACATGCTTGCCGACGAGTTTGCAGCCCGTCAACCTCCTCCTACATGTCTACCGGAACTTCGGAGAGCATTGCTTTTTGAGTGGTGTAATATCCCCCAAGATCAGATTGATAATTTGATACTCAGCACGCCTAGGCGTTGTACGGACTGTATTGCATCGTCTGGGAGACATACAATGTATTAACAATCATACCAACCATGTAATATGGGATTTTTGTAAATAGGTTTTTTTTTTAATTTGCTCCAGGGAGGAAAAATCGCTAATATTTTTAATAATATCAAACATATAGCATCTTTTTTTTTTTGCGCTTTACCTTTTGTTTAATAAATAAGGTTTACAAATAAGTCAAATTTGTTTTGCTTCCAACTCTTCCTTTGCCTGATTTTGCATTATCCTTAATTTATGGACATGAGTGTAAATTGTCGAATTCGGTAATTGCATTAATTTTGCACCAAATACGAAATAAAATTCTCAATTCGAGGTGCTAATTTTCGGTTGCGTTCAAAATCTAGTGGGGATATACATCGAAGTTTTTTCAATATGCGATAAACATACATAAATTCATGCAGATTCTTCATTTAATAACAGAAATGATATACATGCATATACTCGCATTGTGGAAAACGGGCGGCACATGGAGTCACCCAATTTTGAACATAGTTCTCTTCGCGAACGTGTGCACCCCGGAGCCCAAATCTGGAATTTACTTTGTATTAATTATAAGCTTCGTTGAAACAATACAATTTTCATTATCAAGTTCAGCCATTTTAAAGGATTGCGTTGCCACTCAAATAAATGTAAGATATAGGTCTGCCATGCGGGGATAGTTGTTAGCGACGTTGACTGCCGTAACGAAGGTGCAGATTCGAATCCTGGAGAAGACATGGATGCTTGTAAATGTATAGTGTTTGTGCGGCACGGGAGAACTCTGAATATGCGGGGAGCCGATCCTATCAAAAGGGCGGCGGTAGGAGCAGAGGGGTGGAAGAACCTCGGATCCGTCCCCGTCGGGAGGCTTTCTTTCAAAATTGAGAAGGAGGGGGAAAGACTAAGCTAAAATCGGGCAGTATGGTGCCCAAGGCTCTTGCAAACGACAGGCGCCGTGCTGTGATTTCAGATTAGCGACTCCTACAGCAGAACAGTTTTCAGCTCCGGATAGTTCTCGGAGAGGGAATGGCGAGATAAAATTCCCCTCCCAAAAGCGTTCCAGACACGCTCTACAGTGTTGAGGTCAGGAGATGTGCTTGTGGAACCCATGCGGCGAATATCCCCAAAATCCAGGTACTCGTCGATTAGCTGAGCCATATATGAAGAACGTTGTCCTCCATTAACAGGAATCCAGGACAAACTGCGCCCTGAAAAGTCGGAACATGTGGTTCTAAAATCTCCACTGTGTATCTTGCAGCAATCGTTGCAACAGCTTGTTTGTCAAAGACATACAGGGGTGTGCTGTAACAGCCGTGTGTCGACGCGCTGAAAGTGCCAAACAATGATCCTCGTTAACCGTTATGGATCTTGCTGAGACCTTCCTTAGGTTTTCTCGGATATGGATCCAGTGTTCTGAAACTGTTTTTGTAGATGTCACTGTCCATTATACCAAGTTTTGTAGCCACCTGCGCTTATGATTGGCCTGCCTCCAATCTTCGGACTATTCTCCATCTCATTCTGTCATGGAGTACGTTCGTGGCTGCTTATTTTACCTCATACCTTATCAAATTTACTCAACTCTTGTGAAAAACGCGGGGAATGTCATGAAGGAGTACGAGCTCACAAATCGCTATACACCCCTCGTGCGTTTATATCTTCCTCCACAGTCACAGCTATACTCACAGTCAGGCACGATTATACTTAGGTATTAAACTCTGAATTATTTGCATAATTTGTCGATGGCATAATCTGCGCCTTAGGTTCAATACTTTTCGGAAATATAGACATGAAAACTCTTAATTTTGCACTAAAGTGTATATGTATATGTTACGGTGAAACACCGAAATCTGGAGAATGTCGACTTTCACCGGTTGAATGTCAACATTCACATAGTCGCTTGGTGTATATCCGAAATATTTTCCAAATACTCTTATTTCTGACTTACACCGGTGAATGTCGACATTCACCATGTACTAATGGTGAATGTTGAACATATAACAATATTATATTTCCTTCTCCGTAATTCATTCGCGAAAAAACGCGCTTGAGACTCAGAATAAGAACTTAAGAATATAAGAACTTAAAACACACA